TGTTGTTGTTGACCGAGCGCCTCACTACACGTCTACCCGATCCGCCATCTTGAAGGTGTAAGGTCTGGCATTGTAGTGGTTAAAAATCTGGCTGTGAACCCTGCGGTCAGCAGCTCGAATCCACCAGGCCCTCCTCGTGAGAGAGATGAGCCTTTCCGCTCCTTGCAGTTAAACAGCCTTGGAGTCTGGCTGTTAACCCACAGCACCACACCAGGACTCCGAATCTTGTCGCTCGGAGCAAGGCAGGAAGGGAAACAAGTACACACCCAAAATAAGCATCTATTCCAGTGCTGCTCCCTCAAGGTCCAATGTAATTAATCTATCATCGAGTGGTAAACTGATCTCCCTGAAGGATGGTACTGTGTTGTCTCACAATGGATTGCCCAGAATGGTCCCATGTTGACTCAGGGTGGTAAGGCAAGTTAGACACGCAGCAGTGGTGGGCAGCAGGTCAGCCTTAATGCAGGAAAGTTTGTTTTCTTGAGCACATAAAAATGAACCCCACTGCCGCCACCATCACTTTGTTCATAAACTCAGCGAGCAAGGACTGGCTGGGGTGGCTGAAGAAAGATGGGCTGAGCCCTGGGAATAGGTCACATCCATCTAATTGTGAAGCTCATACTCAAGAGCACATTCTAAACAGTTCACTCATTGCCTCTTTTCCTAGACTTCCTTTTATTCATTCAACAAGTTATTATTGCATGCCTGCCATATGCCAGGCACTGTTATGGAAAGAGGGGATTAACAGTAAAGAAGATTAAAATATTCATAGCCCCAAAAACTTATATTTTCGTGGAAATGAGGAAGTCATGTACCAGATGAATAAATACATGTATGTTAGACTGTGTTAACAGCTCTAGAGAAAGAAAACAGTGTCAGAGGGAGTGCAATTTAAGAAACTGTCCAGGGAAGACTTCAACAAGATGGCACTTGAGTAATGACCCAAAGGTACAAGGCATGTGACGCTGATGGAAGAACCTATCAGCTAGAAGGTATAGCATGTGCAAAGGCCCTGAGGTATACATGTATCTGTTATGTTCAAGGCCTAGAAAACAGATCAATGTGAGTGAAGAGAAGGAGAACAATCAGGGTTAAGGTCAGTATGAACAAGGGGCAAAGGCATGAAAGGTATTTTGGGTATTTTTGCTTTTATTCTGAGTTAAGATAAGCATAGGTGTGGCATGATCTAATTTATTTTACCAATCCTCCAATCTTTGTCTCATACAAAACCAGACTGATAAATACACACAATGTATGTTGAAGCTGTGCCCACTAAGAATAAATTCTTTCAGCTAAAAACCAAACCACTAGCACTGATCCAATTCAATTACAGCTCATAGCAACCATGTAGGGCAAGTAGAACTGTTTCTTAGGGTGTCAAAGGCCATAAGAAATCTTTATGGAACTGAAAAGCCTCATCTTTCTCCCACAGAATGGCTGGTGGTTTGAACTGCCAACCATTCAATGTCTTTCCCTCTCTCAAAGGGTTGTTTTTAAGGATTAACGGGAAAAAATGAAGGTAAATAGAACAGTTGAAGCTAAGCAGAAAATCAGGGAATGTGGAAGAAGTGGAGCAGAAACTGCTAGATTTTATTTTACTATAACCCATAAATAAACAATTATTTAATGATTCAAGTAAGTACATGCTTTCGTGCTTTAACTCTGGTAATATGAAGTCTAAATGCATGAAATGTATCTAAATTTAAGATGTTAAGAAAAATTTCAGTAGCTGTCTGTGTATGTCAATATAAAATATTTTTATTTTTTTTACAATGGAAAGTTGGTCTCAATTTATTTCTGGACTGTATTCATTCATATTTTCTTGTGTTGGAACAGTTTGTATATCAAAGTATAATTTTTAAAACACTTACCCAAATGGACATTTGATATGCAAAACTAATTAAATATTTATAATAATAAAAGATCAAAAATAGAACTAGAAATATTTGATAATTATATCAGATAAATAGCATAAATAATTTATTCTTAGCACTTCAGAGAAGTTTAAAAAAATTAGCATATGAATTTATCACTTCTTAAAGTAGTTTGTGATAACGTTTTTTTCCTGACAGAATAGCTAGTCTGTCATTTTCAAAGAATAGTACTTTTTGCCTATTATTACTGAAATGGCTTAAACTGCTAATAAACCCTAGAGGTGCTACTTGGTAAAATATTTTACATAGTTTGAAGCTGATAAACCTTTGGGCCTTTTTTCAAGAGATAACCTTGGTCATTCAGTGATCCAACAAAGTTTTCAAAATCAACAACCTGGAAGAAAACAAGAGTTAGCCCATTAAGTAATAAGTCAGAATATGATTTTTGAATTAACCTCTCAAATCCTGTCAAGTTTCTTGGGACAAAAAATAATTATTTACAATTAATTACACTTCTCTCAGAGAAAACTGCCTGCATCCAAGCTTTGGATTCTATGCTGAACTAATTAAAAATAAAAACTTCAGTCTGAGCCCTCACTGCATTGAGTCAGTTCCAACTGATGAAGACCACATAGGGCAGAGCAGAACTACTGCATAGTTTCCAACGCTGTAAATGTGCACAGAAGCAGACTGCCACATCTTGCTCCCGGAGAGTGGCTGGTAGGTTCAAACCACCAAGCTTTTGATTAGTTAGTAGCCAGGCACTTTATTCACCAGGCCACCAAGGCTCAACTCCAGTGTGCAGAGTTTTCTATGTATTTTCTTAGTTTTAATATAAAATTTAGACTAGCTTCTTAAGTGGGCAGTTTCCCACGTAAACTGATTTGTGTGTTTAAAGAGCGATTACATTGATTTTCATTAAAACTTGAAAGTAGATAAAGTAAATGGAATTGTGTCTTTTGAGCAGATGAAGAAACAAGTTCAAAGGTGTTAAAATAACTTGTCCCCAAGGGATTACCAGGAAGAAAGGGATGGAGTTCTGCTGCAGTGCTTCCCCCTAACTACCTAATACTGAAAAACATTCTATGAGAAAGGAAGATATCATAAAGACTGTGCTACAAAAACTTTACCTGGTTGTCTTTTTGTCCCCATAATACATGCTAGGTTATTTTATAGCTGAAATAAACTAGTCTGTATTATGAAACACTCAAAAGAATATAAGTCGATCCTACTCTCTTAATCCAAAGTTCTTGATATTAAAAAAGTCTACTATATATTAATAAGGACCTCCCAAAATTATGACAAAACAAACTTATTAGTAAGTGTCTAGTTTATCATACCTGAATGTTTATGTCTTTGGCGATCTTTCGAAGTTGATGAAATTGAAATAAATTACTGTAAGTTCTTTCAGCAATGTTATTGAGAGCAGAAATAAATCTTTTCGCTGTTGACCTGTTGCTCATTCCAGAACCGTGCTGTGAACGTTCAAAATCTAGGTTCCCAAATTCATCAGAGTAAGTTCCTAGCATGCTTAATGGAGAGGGAAGAAAAACAGTTACCTAATGTGGTACAGCTACAAACATTTTTATCCTGGTCCTAAGAAAAACTTGGAAGTAGCCATGAAGGTCAGTTAGCAAAGACTTAAACATGGATTTACTGAGTGGCTACTATGAAACTCACTGTTCTGGTAGCGTAGTGGTTACGAATCGGGCTGCGAACCTTAAGGTCAGC